ACTCCAAAGTGCATGACACCAAGGTCAGCAGACGCGATCAATCTCAAGAGATGAGCTTTCTGGGCTCTACCCGAACGCAGAAGCCTCGGGGCTTCACGAACCACGCGTTGGCGGTCGTCCAAGAGCCTCCAGGCGCTGCCGCGTCTCCGTCAAGCTTGAAGTCGAAATCGCGGATGATTCTCGGGATCAGTTTCGTCATCTCCAAGATGGAAACATTCTTTCCCAAGCACGTCCTCGACCCCAAGCCGAACTATTTTGAAATTAGCCAGACCGCTAACTGAAAAGCTTGAAGAACCACACCTACCGGCATCCAGTTTCGGTTCATCAGGGAAAGCTTGTCTTCGTCGTCGATGAGCCAACGCTCAGGGCAGAACTTACCCGCATCCTGGCCGAAGATACTCTTATTATGATGTTGAACCCAGCTGTTGATGCCAACAACAGACTAAAAGTTAAAAGAACACGTTAGCGAAATGTTTTGTTCCCTCAAAGATCATCAGGACGTACACCTTCGGGGAAGAAACGGTCGGCGATGGTGGCGCCTCCTTCAGGCACGACCCGCTCCAACGGCAGGCCGACGGCAGGGTGCATACGCAACGCCTCCTTGATGACAGCCTGCAAGTAAGGCATGTCCTGACCCTGCTTGAACGTGGGATTCTCCGAAAGCTCGCCCCGGCTGCTGAAGTCGTCGATCTCGGTACGCAATTTCTTGATGCAATCCGGGTTCCTAAGGAGATGGTACAGAATTCCAGAAAGACTGATGCCGGTTGTGTCTGAGCCCGCAAACATGTTGGTCGCGCATCCAATGAGAATATGGTAATTGGTGAAGGCATCGGGTTCCTCCGAGTGTTTGGCAAGATACTTCCTCAAGAAAGTCTCGCCGACACCCGCGCCTTCTACATCGGTCTTGGACTCGGTCACTGACTTTGGTGAAGCGCGCTCTTCCGTGACCCTGCTCTGAGTGAAGTTCATCACATACATGATGCGGTCGGTGCGGAAAAGAGGACCCATGGCTGAAAGAAGCGGAGCAATGTAGCGATGGAATGAGGGGAAAATTCCGGCGAGGCTTGAGTAAATCAAGCTGGCGTCAAGGTTTTCGATAACCTTGCCAATATCATCGCCGCGGTCCAGGAAGCCTAATCGCTTGCCGTACGTAATGTACGCTACGGCATCAAAGGCAAAGCACTGGAACCAGTGGCCGATGTCAACGGGTGCACCGACCTTCGAAAATTCCAGCATGCGTTGGGAGAAGATCTCGCCGCACTCATCAAGATACGGCTCGTAGTTGACGAGCGATGTCATCGAGAAGGCGTGCGCAAAGAAGCGTCTGTTGTGGGCGTGGCGTTTGATGGACTGATCGGAGAAAATGTTCCACCAGGTGTCATTTGGCTGGAATGAGGAGTACCAGATCGACTTGGGGAACTGAGTTCCGTGACCGTAGATAGTCTTGGATGCCTCAGCGTCATTGATGCTGTACCGATTGGGGCCGTATCTGACGATGGGGCCTAGTTGGGTGCATCTCGAGATTAGCATGTTCCACACGACCCAGCCTAGCATCTCTGCACATGAACTTACCATATTTTTCATGGAGAGAAATATTGACCTTTTCGAAATCACCTTGCTTAATGCGAAAGAAATACCAAAAGTCCGTAAAGCGCGCCAACATAGGCCCAGGTATGGACCGCAAAGGAGAGCGCACCCAATTGAACAACGCTGCAGCAACGTAGAAAAACAGGGCAAACACCGCTACGGCCAATAAAAGTTGATTATTCATGTTGTGAGGTCAAAGATGCTGAAAAGATTGGATGAACTGCTTGCTTGTCAAGGCTGGTGACATGAACTGGATCGATGCAGCTCTGAACATTCTTCGCGAGGAGCTTTATAGTCGACGGCCTGTCTCATTTTTTGAGTTTCATTTCTCCAGGTCTCGTATGGTTGTGATTGCTTTTGCGTGGACTGATACGCAATTGATGCATCACGTTCATGGGTTGCCTGTTGCGTAAAGGCGTACGGCTTAGAACACCAATTGGTCGTTGGCGATGGTCGAGTCATAGCGCCCCCGAAAAGCCCCAAAAAGCGGACGGCGTGGAAAATGAGCTGGCCCCATACGACGATGGCCGGCGGCGAATAGTCGATAAAACAATAATAATACTGGTGCTTGGCCTGAGACCTTCGCTTCAGCGAGTGGATCATACAGCGGCAGTACAACCTCGGGTGCTGATCCTTGGCGGTCTATCGTCGTCAACTTACACACCGCCAAACTTTCCGCCTGGTTTGTGTTGAAGCTTCCATTACGTATCAGTGATGACGCTCTATGGTTTCCCAGGAATGAAGCCTGGACTGAGAGGCAATCCGCTGTCCGCAGCTTGCGAAAGCAAGAACGAAATGATAGCACAGTTTGGATTGAAGTTATCGGATTTTGCCATCATCTGCCGAAGCTGCACGGAGCGCGTCGCGGTGATGGCGGGCACATAACTTTCATGGAGGGACCTGGGGCAACACCCGGAAAACGAAAGTTGTCCGAGACCGAGGTCGACCCGTCTTATGCTTGACACTCATGAAGGCGGGCTGGCCCCGCACGGGGTGCTCCGGCGAGTGGGGCTGCGTTCGAGCCGGGATTGCGGACCGGAGGCTATTGGATGCCGCGACCGAAGGTCAACGGCCATTGACTACTCTCGACCCCCCGCTACACTTTTATCGTCGACAAAGGTTCTCTACTTAACGAGCACACGACTACCGAAACCCATGAAAGCAGACAGGCTCAGAAGGTCTTCCTTGACGAGCTGAGTGCTGAACTTTCAGCTTGGGGCTACCCCTGAAAGCCTCGACGATGAGGTATCATAACATAGAGCTATGGAGTCAGCATATTGATTCAAAGCTTCAAGTGAGAGTTTTGAAGGATTGAATTCGACAAAATCCAAACTGCGTACATTATTTGCGATGTGCCTACAGTGGGTAGCGGACCGCGGAGATCGCGTGGCCTACCTACATCGCTAGGTTTCCACTCATGTCTAGTACGTAGCCGGAGTAACACTGAGCCGGCCACCATCCGTCAAGACGCAATTACCATTGCAGTATGTGCCAGCTCGTGAAGCCAAATACAGTAGCGGTCCCATGATATCTTCCGGAAGACCTGCTCTCTCAGCAGGTATTTGATCCAAGGGGAAGGCTCCCTCAACTGTAGGATCCGTGCCTTGGATTAGGCTCGTAGTGAGATCAGTCGGGAACACTTGACATGTTTAGCATCGTTGACCGAAAACTTCGTTTGCTGGACGCCAACTTACGTCCTGGGCAGAGTACATTGGCTCGGATCCTGTACGGCACCAAATACGTCGCCAGAACCTTCAACATCATTGTCGTTGCCGCCTTACTAGTGCCGTAAGCAAATCCAGCAGTGATCTTTCTGTTGAAGCTGCCAATACTGCTGGTTGCAATGACCTGGCTCCTTCCCCCCTGATAATTAGACCGATTGCCTTTGTCCAAGAGTCCCAGGAATGATATCGCTGTGTAGAACACAGCAGTGCAGTTGACGTGGTACGTGTTGGTGAATTCCTCCATGGGGATCTCCAAGAGAGCGTCTTGAACTTGCGCAATCGAGGCGCCCGGAGGTACGTTTCCGGAAGGCCCAGCAATACCTGAATTGGCAACGAGCAGGTTGATATACCCGACATCTTTTTCAATCATCGCCACTGCGTCCTTGAGGCTTTGGCGGTCTGTCACATCGCACTGGATGGGTACAACGTTCTCACAGCCCTGCCATAAGTCAGCGGGCATTGGACTATTGGCGATCATCAGTACGCACAATTTCTTTCACAGCATCATCCAGCACCTTTCTTCTTCTGCCGAGTATGTAGACTTTCTTTGCGCCGTTTTCTGCTAACGCTCGTGTCATATAAAGTCCTAGCCCTGCAGGAATTGTGATTAGCCATCGAAGTAATGAAAGAGCCATGCTTGCGGACATACCACTGCCTCCGCCTGTTACAACAGCCACAATCCCTCGAATATCAAAAAGACTGCCTGATTTGTAGGACTGAGACATGGTAGATATGCACGAGTTCGGGCCGCGGTGGTGAGATTCGATGCGAAAAGACGGTTAGATAGTTGGATTGAATGTAGGAACTTATGAAGAAGTGAGGAAATCGGCAGTCTACCATGTGAAATGGGTTGAAGATATGTCCTTGTTTTATTACTAAAATGTCTAGAATATCTGATGATCTCTTTTCTACGTTGGTAGTCCTTGTTCGCGGTGGCCTGCCAAATGCGGTCCGCGCGACCCCCACACGACTACTGCAGGCGTAGTCGAACGAGGGCAAATGGAGGCTAGCTTCCCATGTCCACCAAGCTGGACATTTTTCAAATGATCTCCCATAGAAATCTCTCAAGTGAAGTCAACGGAAGGTTATCGCGACCCTCTCAGTTATGCAAGCACGGGGGTGTGGGTGTTCTGAGGGACTCCAGGGGCTCGGGCCGGGACTGCGACCAGCTCCGCTTTGCGCACCGAAAGAACTTGTCAAGGAAGGAAAATGACCTTGTTCAAGGCTTTAAAATTCACTGTTTAAATTTCCTTTCAAAATACAAGCAAAAAAGTCGAAAATGGGAGATAAGTGTGCTCCTTGATGCTATCAGTCTTTATGTGTCAATCCGCTTGTAAACTGACATTCTATCTGTACCCCGTTGCAGGCAAGAACACGTTGTTGAGAAGTAATCGAATATAGTAAGGGTTTAGTGGAATCGGAAACAACGTGAATGTATTCATGTTAGTCGTCTTTGACGCTTGTGCCCCTACGAATATCTAACCCGACCAAAACTCCTCGCGTTGATATACCTCTCCAGCCCCAGCCGATAACCCGCATCAGCAGTGCCACCTCCTAGTTTAGTTGCGTCCGGTATCCACCGACGTCGGAGAAGAAGCTTAAAGCGAGCGTATATACAGGAGCAACCTATAAACACATGCAATTTGTATTCCTCTGCGCTAAAAACGCACGCTCTGTCGCGGCACCACCTTAGGCAACAGGGGGGAGGGCCAGGTTGGCGGGGATCCTTCCGGCGGAGCCACCGGCCACGTTCTTTGCGGGTACGTTCTGCTGCGATCCCTTGGCGGCCATCTTGTAGGCCTGCACGTCCGCATCCGCCTTACTGCAAGATTGTTAGTACTTCTCCCGTCCGCTTCTGTGTACGTGAATGACTTACGGGTTAATGATCATAACCATGCCGAGTTGGCAGTGCATGCCCTGGGCGCAGTACAGGAGCATTGGCTCGGTGTTCTCGACCTGAACGTTGAAGGTTCCGATAGGAGAGCCATCAGTAACACCCGGGATGAAGCCGCTGTGAACAGCGTTGGGCTGCATGTCCCCAAGGGGCAAGCATGGTGCCTGGACGTTCGCTGCCTGGGTGACGGTGTGGTTGTTGGGCCAGAATTGGAACTGAACGATGTCGCCGGGCTGAGCTCTCACGATCTCAGGGTAGAAGAGCAACGACTTCTCGCGGGTCGGGCTACCGACGAGGACTGGGATAACCTTAGGAGTAGGTCCGGGAGGAGCGCCCGCGGGAGGCATGGGAGCAGGTGGTGCCTGGCGCTCTGCAATAGTGTCAGCTCAGGGTCATAGCACGTTGACCTCGTGGCTTTGTCTGCTTACCCTCAATGGCAGCAGCCATGGACGCGCCAATGATGGCGGAGAAGTAGACGACGACCGTGTTGAACTTCATTGTGACAGACGGATACCCGTGGGCTGGATGTTAATTACTAGAGACGTTGATTCAATGTCGCAACAAGAACACTAATGATCCCACGCATCAAGAAGAGGTCGGAGGAGGGCCCTGTGATATTTAAGCTACTACTCCTGTGCACTGCAGAATCTAAAACGAATCGCACTCGCAGGAAAGCATCGCTTCTGCACCCGCTGACTAGAACGAAGCTTTTCTCTCTTAACCTTCCGCACTGGGCTAAATTCTCCCGATCATGAGACCGACTAAGCCCTTCAAAACGGACGGACATTCATTTTTTTTCTCGGTTTGCTGCCGCGATCAACAGGGGTAGCAAGTGAAGCTTGGGGCTCCCGAGAGATGGGATGACCGAACTGCCCAATAGGACGTGCTGAGTACCTCAAACGTGCCTTGTTTCGTTTCTTCGGCCACACTCCCTACCGAGCTGGCTTTCTGCTTAGAAATGAAGAAGAATATGCAGAGATGCTGCTTAAAGATGCGGTGGGAGGGGCGGCACTTCGCTCTTTCGGAATGGGGGGGGAGCCGGCCAGTCAATAATCTGTCTGGCTGTGTCAGGGTGGCCCGAGATTGGACGACAAGCGCAAGGGGCGAAGCTGCGGGGGGTACGGTAGCTTATCCTCGCTCACCGGCCGCGGGCTTGCAGGAGTTAGCCATTTTGACTATAGAGTAGAGTTATGACCGGATGAAACGGTTGCGGAGTCGTTTCGAACACTCACGAGGCGTTGGCCGCCTGCTGGCTCCATCGCGACTTTCCGTGGTGGGGGATCTCCGAGCGTCGAGGAGCATAGGGGAGCGGGAGATCGGCACAAAGGGCACATTAACCTGCACATCTTATGGCATTGCGGCTCCCGGAAGATACTTCCCACGCGCGCGGGAGGCAGACTTGGTCTTGACGTCAACTGAGTTTTTGGGCTGAAAGCGGGAAATGGTTCGATGTATGTTAGGGTCGTGCGCACGTCTTGATCGTGTCAAAATCACGATTGTATTACCATATGCGATCACTTCAATCTAGTGAGCCTGATCTATTCTATCCAACATGTACGCCATCTAATTGCAATATCCCGTAACTTGGAACCACCCTGTTCCAAAAGCCGATGCCCTATTATTTCTCCGTATCTCCGTCTGTTTGGCTTTTTACATCCGTCTTCGGCTTGTTCTCTTTGACGCTCTTCCACTCGAAAAGCCCAATTCCGAGGACCGTTAAACATCCGAGAACGGTCGCAATGAGAAACACGTTTTGCAGTGCCTTGTTGTACGACTCGATGATGCCGTCCACCGAATCGGGGTAGGTCTTGCGCATAGAGTCCACCAGCCCCGATGCTCCGGCGTTGATGACCACGGCCGGATTTACGTTGGGGACGTTTCGACGGAGCTCGGCGACGAGTCGCGAGCTGAAGATGTTTTGCGCAACGGCTAGAAACACAGTACCACCCAGGCTCTGTAGGAATACCAAGACCGAAGTAGCGAGGGCGATGTCGCGCCCCTTGAACACGGTTTGCGCGGCAATGATGCACTGCTGCCCTCCCAGACCCACCCCCAAACCCATTAGGACGAGTGAAGCAGCCCTGAGGCAGATGTTAGCACTTTGGGCAGACTGAATCGGAAAACGTAACAGGCCTTACCAGAACGCCGTGTCAGTGTCGACGGTAAACGAATAGATCAACCCACCAGCCACGGAGGAAATGACAGATGACGCGATGATTTGCGGCACGTAGTAGCCAATTTGACTCGTCTAATGATTTATCAGCATTAAGTGTCAACGTCGTCAAAACGGCGGAGGGACGTACCAAGATCCCGGACACGATTGTCGCAACGGACATCGAGGCTGATGATGCGAGCAGGTCGATGCCACTCTTGTAGGCTGAGTGGTTCTTGACCGCCTGCAACCAGATCGGGATGTAGTAGACATCGATAAAGAGCAGAGAGAACAAGAGTAAGATTGTCCAACATGAGGCGATCATGGTTCGCTGAGATATGATGCGAAGAGGAACCGTTGCCTTGTCGCCCTCGCGATATTGGACGAAGCCCCACAAAAGAAAACAGAGTGCGAAGATGCACCAGCAAAGGATGATGCGCCAGTTGCTCCAGGCGTACTCGGTTCCGCCCCACTGTAGAGCCAGTAGAAGACAGATGACCCATGGAATGAGGAGCAGTGTTCCGACAAGGTCGAAGTTGTCCATGAACTCTTTGAAGCCTCTTGGTTCCTCCTTTGCCTGTTCGGAAAGCCTCAGAAAGAGGAGAATCACAGCGAAAGTTACACCTCCCAAGGGAATATTAATCCAAAAGCACCATCCTGCCACAAGTCAGCAAACAGAAAATCATCCAAATTATAGCAGCCAAGATCGTACTCCAGGTAGCCTTGTCAACGAAGACGCCGCCGAGGGTCGGTGCGATGACCTGAGAGACTCCGGCAGCGGCACCAATCGCGGCGGTGAAAGTGGGCCGCTTATGAAGCGGTACACTCTTGGTGATGATCTAGATCCTTGTCAGCCGGTGTCTGCGGCGGCCGTTGGCGCTCCCGAAACCTACAATTAAAGCCCCGGTCATCAGGCCGGCCGCACCCACTCCGGCAACCGCTCGTCCGACGATGAGAACGACGGAGTTCGGGGCCGCGGCACACACCACTGACCCCACCTCGAAGATGGCCAGCCCGATCAGGAAGATCCACTTGATGCTGTACTCGGCATAGAGCTTTCCGAAGAGAAGTTGGAAGGAACATTGTGTGAAGAGGTAGGCAGACCCGTACCACGCTACGTCGGACAGCGAATTGAACTCTGAAGTGATTTCAGGAATGGCAGTTGCCAAGATTGAGCGGTCCTATGAGAGACGAGGTGTCGGTAAATAGATAGCAGTAAAATTTGCTTGGCTGTCGAGAACTTACTAGGCCAAAGCAGAGAATAGCAAGAAATAGACCAATCGAGATCGCCGTAAGGGCCGGGCCGCTGGGATAGACTTCGATTATTTCGGCTTGGCTTTGGACACCCTGTTCCGACCCCGGTATATCCGTTTTCTCTGAGGGTGTCCTCAGTGCTGGTGTAGCGTTGACCGGCCTGGTGTGATGTCACTCGTGAGCAGGTGTTCCGCTGCCGAGCCGCTAAGGACCTCCGCAAACTTACATGGTTTCGGCGGAATATGCCCCGGAAGACGCCATTCGAAGGAATATTATCGTTTGCGCTGGTGTTCAAATATGGGAATTTAGATGTTCGATATCTAACACTAGGTTGCCTGTGCTTTTCGAGTATTTGTACTACTCTTGGCCATCTCGAAAAACAATCCCATCTTCTTGTATTGATCCTCATGTCCGAACATTCTGACTGCCCTCGACATCGGTCCGTACGGGAAATAGCCCGTCAGCAAGTGTTGGTAATTGGTGGGCTAATCCGAGACCCGCTCCCACGAGATCTCTAGGGACTTTGGTCTGCTTCTACACTTTGAGCCCAGCCACATCCAATTTGTGGAGGTCTGCTCCATTTTCGCTCAGCCTCGACAGGCAGCAGATGTCTAATCATTGCAGCAAAGGAGGTCATGTCCGGAGGCACTCATGTAAATTGGTGGAAGATGCTGCCTAGCGCTGACCCTTGTCCCGCCAAAATGGCTCCCTAGCCAGGGTTAACACGGGTGAAAGTGGGAATTTGCGCGTCCATCGGCGGTCGGGTGGTAAGTTAACACCCGACTCCGTGTTCGCATATCCTCATCTGTCCAATCAGATGCTGCCATTGTCGCCCGATCTTCGACATACGGGGCTTAAGACTGACACCGGTCCCCGGTCTTTGACAGCTTTCGTCCGTTCCCAGCTACACCGTCATCCGCGACATTTCTGCGATTTTCCCATTGCTTGTGATGTGCCATTTTGAGCACCAAATTCACAGAGCACACGCCGTCATTATCTTTCCATCGGCTTGAAGATGACAAATGTTTCTCCAGAAGAGGAGGGCAGTAGCCCGGAGTTCATTGCGAACGCCAAAAAGCTCCGAGCTTGCAGCAATTGTGCGCGCCTCAAGATCAGATGCAGGTGGCCACCGGCCACGGAGCATGGTGAACCAACCGATTGCACGAGGTAGGGAGAGATTGCAGACTCCATTCTGGGCAATCCAAGAATGACTTGCAGAGAGCTAATACAAGCTAGATGTTCCCGGATGAACATCCGCTGTCGGGTGCCGGAACCAGTACCCAGAAAGAAACGGGGAAAGTCAAGGTAGGATCTTTTCTGATGTTCTTCTGGACCCTTCTCCAGTGCCAAACTAAGATATCGTTGTGTCTTCTGGCATTGAATATCAGCTGCGTTGATCATCTGTGTTTCCTTGGCGCTGACAGCTCACCCCAGTCGAGTCACCGAACTAGAGAAGAAAATCGATGGCCTGGTCAACCTTTTCCAGAATCAACAACAGGTCAAGCAACATGGAGCTCAAGCTCTTACTCCCGCTACCAGTTCATCGACTTATGAAGAGAATCAGCTGCGTGGATTACTGCCATGCGCTGGACTCCCCATGCCTCAACCTGATACCGAGGCATCCTCCAACGCCGTCACCCCCGACCCTCACTGCAGCACCCAACACACCCCAGATGTCGGTCCTTCGAATACCTTGCAGTTGGTCCCTGGACTCTCCCTCACCATGGATCAAGCCGAAGAATACCTCAACATCTACCGCACTCGCATGGTCCCACACTTTCCCTTCATCCCTATCCACGTGAATGTGACGGCGCGGGAGCTCCACTCCCAGAAGAGATTTCTTTTCTGGTGCATCATGCAGGCTCTCATTCCTCAGGAAGCCCCTGTCCAGAAGGCGGTAGATGACTGGATCAGGCACCATGCAGCAGTACATATCATCGTGAACAGGGAGAGGAAGCTTGAGCTGCTGCAGGGCCTGTTGATCTACATTGCCTGCTACGCTTGGTGGGTGCACCCCGTCTCAGTCTTGCCCAACTGAGGTTGCTGACCTTTGTCCTCATAAACAGGGGAGACGTCCATATTCACTTGGGCATGAGTGCCAACGGCCTTCTGCAACTTGCCATCGGCATGGTCTCAGACATGAGCGTCAACACTCTTGCTGGACCACTAGCCTGGATGCCCAAGACCATGTTATCGGATGCATGGGCTGTTATCAGCAAAGGAAAACATTTCGAAACCCCAAAACAGACTCTCGAAGAGCAGAGAGCGGTCTTGGGAGGCTATTTCATTGCATCTAGGTATGAGCCTCAGTTCTAACCCCATCTTGCTCCGAATCAATGCTGATCTAGTGATACATAGCGTGGCCATCTCAATGCGAAGAAGCCCCCAGGTACAATGGTCAGCATATATGGCGCGATGCTGCAGAACTATCCGCGAAGCAGGGGAGTTCGCAACAGACTCGAGCTTAATTGCATTCGTCCGCATGCAACACATAACCGATCGTCTGAGATCTTTGTTTCCAATTTACGACAGAGATGAGGACACGCATGCCCCATTCTTCAAGGAGCACTACAGCGCAATATTCTCGTCCGTACGAAAGGAGATGGAGGACCTTCAGAAAGAGGAGCCTGGTATAAACAAAGATAATCGTAAGTTGCTCTTTCTCTAATGCAGGAAACATCTGCTTATCTGATTCCTCCGCGCAGCGCTTGTTTGGTGTCACTACGTGACCCTCGCAGTCAGACTTTACGAGCCTGCACTGGGTATGCGACCAATGAGCCCAGCAGATACAGCGTCGCCGACCGAGCCATACAGCCGAACTGAAGCCCTCTGGAAATGCCTCGAATGTGTTCAGGCCGCCATGGACGCTTTAATGTCCATACCCGCAGAGATGTACGCATACCTGCCCTTCACTCTTGTCTCCAGCACCGCCTTCGTTATGATGGCAGCAAATCGGCTTCTGTTGGAAGACGGTAGCCCTGACTGGGACGTTACCATTGCACGACAAAAGATTCCACACGCGGAAAACGCACAACGAATGGCGGACAGATTCGAAGAGGCGGATAACGTTGCCCTTGTTGTCGGCCAGAAGAGGCGTCTTTTTGAAGACCAGACGTCTAGATGGGCCAACTACGCTTACCGTGCACGATGGATGAAGAATTGGTATTTGAGCAAAGTGTCTCCTCCGCAGCGGGAGCCGTCTGCTGAGCAACCGCCGAACACTGCGGAGGGTTCAACGAACGACCCGAGCATGTCTTGGGTGGATGATGTCACCATGGACAAGATGTTTTGGGGACAAATGATTGTGGATGGGTTCGGTCAGATGCCCTATGAGTTTCAGTTCGGTAACGATTCGATGCAGACCTTGCAAGGCATCATGTGGCAGGATGGGATGAGCACGACTGAGACGATGGCCATAGCGAACATGATACCCCAGTAGTAATTCATTGAAATGCGATGTCACATGACTTCGAGCTTGAGATCTACGAACCTAATGTTGGCAAATGGACAACCCGTGATTGAGGTTTATGGCAAGTGCAGACGGCTCTGAGATATGGTCCATTACCTTCTTGTAGCTATCACTAGCTCACCAAAACTGTTCACCCCGCACCACTCTTTGTAAATTCGTCGAATTCTGAGGAAGTTCAGCATTCTGCTCCATTTCTTCGTACACTTTACCGGCTAACACAACATAGGTACTTAGCTAAATTAACACGTGTCAGCAATATAGTACTTGGATAACGTAACCTGGGCCAAGAATTGCGGTGACTTCCGGTTCATCAGTAACGTGAGGTAGTAAAGTCCTAAACACACGGCCATGCTTAACACGAGTGACCTCAAGACCATAAATATCAGATATCAAACCGTTTCTCAGGAACTCGGGACTCCGTACCTGCTTGGTATGGTTACGGAATGTCTTCGTCTCTACAATGGTCTCTAAACTAGCAGGGATTTGCACGATAAGATGCGAACGTAAGCGTCCTCGGTCATGTGCCGAAGTCGTTTGACATGTTCGTCCCTTTGAAATCACTCGGAGGCTGTTTCGGCGGATCAAAAACACCCTTGTTTCCTGCAGTGTCATGGATTCAACATGGGTATGAGTACACAGTTATCCAGCTATCTGATTTAAGGTTCATCATCTCTGCGGGACCTCCCGGGATTTTGAACTCTTGGCACTCAGCCTGATTTGGCCCTTGTATCTACCTTACTTCCCCTTCCCGGAGTTGTATTGAAATCGAAGGCATCTGCTGTTACTCTCAGTTCATTGTCACTTGACTGATGTATTCAAAAGTTCGCGGCAACGAATTCAAACGGACGAGGGCTTCGCTATGAGCCTATTCATGGAAATGTCTGAGTACCATCCAAGTTCTTTGAATGGAAAGCGGCCTGAGCAGGACTACAGTCGATTCAGAAATGAGACGGAGTATGAATCGTAACTTCTTTTCCTGGTGCTGGGCTCAGATAAAAGCGTGGGAGTATCCACCATTACTGCACTTTGAATCCTTCAGCTGCAAAGGCCTTTTGACCCCTGTTCGTTGTGGATTGGACACCGCAGCTTGACATGTCGGCCCCCACTGCCCATTATGGGCAACTCTGCTCCGTGAATCTTCCTCAAAGAGGCCGTGATAAGCGCACAAGTGAGTAGAAAGGATGGCTGCCATCGACAAGTCTGAAAGCGCACATCCTGACCGATATTTTCAATCCCTCTCACTTTTGAATTCATGCTCTGTCCATGGTGTTGCTTACCACATCTGTGGCCAATGTCTTGAATGTCAAATTGTGTCGTTATTTCGACAAAAGAGCATGTAAATCGACTCAGCACTAGCATTATCATTAAATCCACCAAAGCCCCAGGAAGGTCTCGTTATTTCATTGCGATACAGAATAGAATTTTGTAATAGACTATCTATTGAGCTCCTTAAACATATCAAAATGTTGCCCTACTCCATGCTTTGCGTATCACTTCTCTCCATAACGTGTTACGTTCGGCCGCACTCTACCGGATCGGAAGACGCAGCAGACGTGTCTCACGTAGCATCTCACCCTCGTGCTTATTGAAGTACCTTCCAGTCCAGAAGCTAACAGCACAGTCAGAAATGTTCAAAACGAAGCGTAAGCCAGATGAAGGGGAAATTCGGGATAACATGGAGCCTTACCTCCACAAAAGACTCCCCAGGGCAATGTCGCGCAGGCCTCCGAGGTATTTGAGCACCACACGATCCTGTTTGGATCCCCAACTCGGCATTTGAGCCAAAGCCTCGTACCATCGCCGGTATCTCGTATCAATCATACGCCCTGCCTCGTCCATGGCTCCCTGTAGTGTGTACCCTTGAGAACACAGGATGCCGATGACAGACAAGTCCTCTCCCTCGATCTATTGAAAGTGTTAGTATCTCAACAACCCATTCGTATACGCCCGTCAGCATGCGGGTGCAAGGTTTGCGCAGGGAAATCATTCCTTGGAAGGACCCACCACGTCCTTCTTGTATGAAAGAATATCGTTGTCGCTAGAAGTGGTAGTGTCAGTACTGTATCATTGGGTGTTAATATCACTTCAGTGTTTAACGAACAGGAGCACCAAGTCCACAGCTACTTCCTGACAGGCCTTGATCGAGGGATGGCTGATGATGTGGTCTGGGACTTCGATGCCAAGCGCATACCTGCAAACTTTGAGTTAGCTATACTCTTTTGCTTACTCGGGTGATGAACAGTCATCTTTTCAGGTGTTCTTACTCGACTAGCACAGTGCAAGGCATAACGCCTATGGTTCCGCGTCGAAAAACGAGAAAATCCTCCATGGTGAGACTTCGGGCGTCCAATCTTCGCGAGTGAACTTGGCCGAGTACGCCAAGCATGTAGTGTTTGAGATCTTGATCGGTCAATGGATAACGCGGTGAGGCAGCAGACTGGGGATCCCGACTCACAGGCTTTGTATCGGTGTTGAAGAGCTGTGGCATTGTGTTAGCCCCTTATTCCACTTGCAGTTTAACCTGGAGAAGGCTTCACATACTAGGTGATGCGCGCTGTTGGGGTTCATGTCAGTCATCTGCTGTCCGTCTGAGCCTGAGGGATGGTAGTACCTTTTGAATGCTCCGCCAGTTTACCTGACAGGCGTAAGCAATTGGATCATCGTCACGAGACACAAGAGGATGACAGTCATCCAGTATCGATGTCATGTTGATTATGTTGCAGGCTGCAGCGTGAAGGTCTTCTTTCAGATGACCCTCGTCGAACTCTGTGTAGGACACAGTATGTCAGCTTAAATGCATATTTCACCTCAAGTAGAGTTCGTGTAACATCAAAACAAAACTAAAGGCTTTGACTCACGGTCATCCCAAACAAATGCCTGTACACCATATAGTCACGACGTTGTTAGCCAACTCCCACGGTATGCCTCGTTCTAGTTGACAAAAAGAAGCTTTTGACTGAGCCACCAGAGCTTACCCAATTCTGCCAGTCAACCATGGTTCGTAGGGCTTCTGCATCGCAGTTTGGAGCCCACCAAGACACCAGGTAGGCGAAGTCTGCGCGAGAGTGACGAGACTTTTGCTCATCGTTCAGACCTAGGGTTCTTTGAAGAACAGGAGTGTTAGGTCGCTCTTGAATCTTACATAGAGTGTGAAGTGTTAAATACTTAGCAATCCATGAATCCGCTTCCAGCTTCACTTGGGCGTAGTGAGCGTTTTGTACAGGCTCGACAGACAGAATTGATGTAAACATATCAGGTACAAGCACCTCGCGGTCTGTGGTTGACGTAGATAGGGCCTGGCTTTCTGTCGACTCATCGGTAGCAGAGGTTCGGGTCTCAATGAACAAGGTGTTATGAGACTTGTCCCACTCCGAAGTTGTTGGAGAAGGTGGGAGACTAGCTTCAATGTGATGTCTGCTGTTATGGTCTCTCTTTCTTGAAGGCATGATGACAAGTATGGCTATGGATTTGACACAGATTAATAGTGTGATGATCGACCTCAGGCCAGATATAAGGGGTTGTTGTAGCAGTAGGCGAACCTGAAAGCCAAAGACGAATCTTTTGAGGACTTCAGAGACGAAGGTCGCGTATTTATACCTTTTGAGGTAAGTTTCCGCCCCTCCAGCCTTCTGTCTGTGGACCACCTCACCTCCATGCGTGGGTATGATCACCCCAGTATGGGAGACCCGCGCCTCAGACGGGCATCGCCATGGATACTGAGATAGTACAGCGACTTAGACTGTCATGATCTGACATCATTACCTCAAGCGGCATTCCATTAAAGGTTGGTATTTCAAGATGAGCCTAGCTATGACGTCCTCCCAGCCAGTATGGACAGCTTCTTGTGGATATTGACTTTGCAGATTGTTGACAGTCTTTGGCGCAACTCGATATTACGAAAAGTGCTGTTTGTCTCATGGCAAAGCGTGGGGGCTGTCCATCACACCCATGTCGTTGTATCATGGCCGGCGTGATGATGTGCTGAACACACCGACAGGATGCAGAGTTTACGTACCACTGGTAAGCGAAGGTTCCCGTGGGACTGCAGGAAACTAGAAGCCCCTTGTCGCTTACACGGCATAGCCGTTTCTCGATGACAGTCGAGACTCGGACGTAAGATAAGGTGTGGCGGAGCGGGTAAAAGCTTCTCGGTTTGGACAAGTCTGACCAGGCCCAGGAGGCCAAGAAAAGACGCAAATCCGGTGACGAGGGGCCATTTTCCATAAGAAGACATGTCATCTTTTCTTGCATGTGTCGATCTCAGCCAATCACTCCCACGGGCGATCCGGAGCCAGCGGCACATATGCCAGGGTGATCAGGCTGAGGTGCGCTTAAACGGGAACTAGAAGACGACTATTTGCGGGGTGCCCAAGAATCACGGACCCACGGTGCAGGCCCTGTCACAAATGATTGTTCAAGTCAGAGACAAGTTTAACAGCCTGACTTACGGCCGAGCTGAAATTTAAAAGAATCGCAAGGGTTACATGGCGTGTTGTGTCTGCCTCCTTGGGGCACAGAAAAGGCAAATGCATCCATTTCAACGTTTCTACGCAACCCTTTTTGTCACGAGCTGATGAGTTCTTAAAAGGTGTTTGGCAATTACCAACGTATTTGGCGCATCTCAGGGGTCCGACTCGCCACTTGTTCTCGAGCACTCAGTCAAAACCCTAAGGTACCTTCCAGGCTGTCTGTAGGAGTCTTTCATTTCTAAACGGTTTGTGGCATATGACATGGCACACCTGCCTTGGAAGGTACGTAGCAGCTGACGGTAGAGAGATGCTGTAAGATCAAACATGTTTTCTTGTTTCGTGTTTAGTCACGATTTGGCTCCCGCCCAATTTGTTGGCCTCAACCCCTGAACTCTAGCATCACCGCGTCAACCCATACATGTGCGCGTTCAATTACATCCGAGATACGCAGTTTGATGCAGGTGGCGATAACCTGAGATGAATGTCGAAAAATAAAACGGT